CGAAGACTATTGTATTTTTTATATATATACTAGCTGCAAGGACCCGCTTCGCTGGGTTTTTATTTGTATGTAATATAGTTTTTTTTATATATATAAAAGACTGTTTTTCTAAGTAATCTGGAATCTAGCTGCAAGGACCAGCTTCGCTGGATTTTTATTTGTGGGCAAAAGTAACGATAGTGAAGATTAAGATAATTAAATTATAGCCAATCTTACCCGTTTTCACAAAATGCAAGAATTAGGTCTCCCGTTTCCAGACGTTTCCAGAGAATTTTTACATGAGCATAAAAATATATTCGATTTCCTGCAAAAGCGCAAAAAACCGCCTGTAAATCTTGCATGCCGCTTTATATTAACACTTCCTGGTTTCGATTCTATTTCTGAACGTCTCCTGTTCACGTCCAGTCAAACGAACTATTTTCAACGTCTATTGCACTCTGGCCATAACCTTACTATACTTCAAATCAACTTGCAAAAGTGCAAGGCTGCTACGTCACAGTTACTAACTGAAATCCAGCAGAAGAAAATTGACATTGTTACAATGCAAGAGCCGTATACCCTTCATGGTAAACCAGCACTACTGGGGAATTATAAAGTCATTTATCCCCAAAATCCAGGTCAAACGTTAACTGCTGTGGTCGTAGTGAATCATCACATTAACGTCCAATTCATACCAAATTATAGCAACCGGAACCAGTGTACCATTCAAATTGAGGTTGAGGACTTTCATTGTTACATTATCTCTGTCTATTTTCCCCCTTCCGAGGATATCGAGCCTCTCTTGGATAACCTTACTGAAACAATTAGGCAAATTTCACAGACAAACATATTTATAGCTGGAGACTTTAATGCTAAGTCCCCCATCTGGTTTGCTCCTAGGGAGGACCCCAGAGGCCAGGCAGTACGGGAGTTTTTAGAAGAACAGCGACTATACTCATTGAACACCAGCGACCTCCCTACATACTTTTCAACAACCGGGAAAAGCTGGATCGATGTTTGCGTTGCCAGTAGCTCCCTTTTAGGCGACATTGGCACTTGTTACACCATCGACCAGGCCACCGGGAGTGACCACCATTACATCAGAGCAGAAATTGCACATACTATCCGGCCTGCTAACGAGACTGAGAAAAAGAAAACAAACTGGGAACTATACGAACACATCATCCAAGAAATCTGGAAACCAAGACCATTCATTGGTCTGAAAACCAAAGAAGACTTAGATATACTAATAGAAGAACTTAATGATGTCTTATATAAGGCCTACACGAGAGCAACCACCGATAAAGTCCATAATAGTGAAGTTTCCTGGTGGAATATTGGGTTACAAAAAACGAGACAGAATGTGAGGAAAAAGAAAAGGGCCTATCGGAAAACTTCAGATCCTACACAGAGGGAGGCCCTCCGCAAGGAGTATAGTAGAGCACAGAAAGAGTATAAGAAACTCATCAATAACAGCAGAACCAATTCATGGAAGGAGTTCTGCAAAACTAGTGGCAACCAAAATCCATGGAGTAAACCCCCTAAAGTGGTTTTTAATAAATATAAACATTCCCAGGTACCAACCACAGTAAGAAAAGGAGACGGAAACTTTACAAAGACAATTACAGAAACTTACGATTATCTACTGTCTGAGCTCTTTCCTACAGACAAGACGGAAACAGACAATCACTATCATGCGACCGTGAGGGAGAAGTGCCCACTAGCTCTGAAGACAGAATTGGACACTAACTTCAGTCCTAGCGAAATAGCTAAGCTTTTCCAGGAAATTAATGGGAGGACGGCCCCAGGCCCGGATGGCATAACAGGCAACATGGCTAAGCACGCATTTAGAGCTATACCATCATCTATGGTTGTTATCTACAATAAATGTCTAGAACTGCAATACTTCCCCAAAACATGGAAGCGTACAGACATAAAACTTATACCTAAAACACAGTCAAGACACCCTTCAACATCAAAAGATTATCGTCCTATCTCGCTGTTGCCAATACTTGGCAAAATCCTGGACGCTCTACTTTCGAAAAGGCTGGAATTTGTAATAGAGAAATCAGGTTTTCTACATAACAACCAACATGGTTTCCGCAAACACAGGAGCACCATAACTGCTCTACAACAGATGCTGGGGATCATTGACAATGCGAAAACCAATAACAAACACACGCTGGCCGTGGCAATTGACTTTCGAGGGGCCTTCGACCACGCGTGGTGGCCGGCCATCCTCACGTCTCTGGAAG